TTTTTGAGATCCCAACATGTTGATGACAAGATCTTACATGGATGACAATCCAACCATGGCAACATGGCGCCAAATGGCGAGTTGATGCAGATCGATCGATCATCCCACCTCTCGCTCCTAAGCGGCGGACGGCCCAATGTAGTGCTGTCCACCCTTCCCCCGGGAAACCATGGCTACTGGAATTTCTCTGCCCGAGAAAGGTGTATTTGAACATGAAGTGGCTTCCTGCTGTATTTCTCAACTCAACCATCGGCATGTCAGGATGCCGTGGAGAAGCCGTGGAGAAGGCAAGCATTTCTCCCTGGCATTCGGAAAATGCGGAACTGTACGGGCCTTATCCTTTGCTCCTTCGGCGATGAATCGAGGATGCTCGAGCAGGGCCTGGACAGCATTGTGGAGTGGAGGCGTCGGCGATGGAACAACATTAGGCTTTTTAATACGAGTACCTTTTCTATACAATCCGATGACATCGATGATCAACTATCTCGTGGAACAATTCTGAAGCCTCGCAATTCACACTGGTCCTCTCATCAATGGATCGCAACGCAACAACACTTGACTCCGCTTATTGGTGGCCTGAAAGCGGAGCATTCCCAGAGGCAAAAGCAATGTCAGAAAGGAAAAACACATGATACCGCCGAGACAATGCATCAGCACACAAAGGCTCTCACACCCTAGAAGCATCGGGTGGAGCCAAACCTTTTGAAGCACATGGCTACAGTGCTAGGAGTGCAATGGGCAGGAGTGGCAGTGGCAATTCATCTGCAAATTGTATAGCTGATGTTGAAGTCCCAACCAATCGAGACTGTGGGCAGAAAGCAAAGCGAGAATACTACTTTATGGAAGCTGGAGAGAATTGAACAAAGAACTGTATACATTATTTCAAATCGAAGGCACTTGAAATTGAAAGTACATCTTAGCGACCGCCAACTCAATTCCGCCCCCTAGTTGCGACCATTGTGGAGTTGCAGAACATAATCGGCGCCAAACACAAGGTATTTGTCAACATGCGCAAGGGCTCATCCCTCACATGATTGTTTGCCTATCGACATGTTCTTCAACCCTTATCCACAACAAGGTCCCTCTAGTTTGGTATCTCTGGGATCTGAACTGCCAAAACAAGGGCGGCACGTTGTCCACCGCTTCACTCACACGGTAGCAACGAAGGCCTGGCACGCGCCAGGATGACCGGCCTGGCGACATCCGGAAGATTGCCCAGGCCACTCACAAAGTCTGATTACAAGTTACAAGTACAAGCGAGTACAGTTGCAAGCATTAGGTGTAGCTGCACACTACTGCACTTCGCCACGGGGGAAGAGCGATGACTAGCACTACAGTTGCTGCTGAAACCACATAAATTACTAACCTTTCAATCAGAAGGCTTGTTGGAGCTAGCTCAAAGTGGCAACTGACTGGGACTCCGGGTAGGTCGTCCACACGACACTCCGCGTGGTATTTCACAATTTGGAGGTTTTCTCAAGTACTTCTCAAGTGTTGCTAGGCAGGTGCGCCAAATTTCATGCAATATATATATAGTCGTATCGACAAACCACTCGAGACTTCTTACATGAGTGCAAGCAACATTTTGACTGGGGTCATGTGTCTTGTTCAAATGCAACCTCTTGTACAAACACAAAAAGGAAGTGCAACAACCCTTCTTCGCACCTGACAAGCGAGGCACTTCGATTTCTTTGAACCCTTCTCCGATGTCTTTACACTGGCCGTTTTGACCCTCTAGACCCTCTGTACACATACGATGATTCAAAGTAGACGGCCCAAATTGATTGATATCTTGACAGTGTCTGAGACCTTGACCGTGACCAGTCTGCATTGGCACCATCCACTCCGAAAGCAAGGTAAAGGGTCGCAAGTTGCATGAATTGCAGCTGCTTCAAAGTTGGGAATTCAGGGGCGCCCCCACGGAAGACTAGTAGGCTACTACGTTGACGCCGATGTGCTTATGCGAGCTAAAATGTGCAGCTTCTCCTTGCCAAAGAGAAGGTACTTTTCCAGTGGAGTTGTGGAGTTCAGCTTCAGTGAACTCTTTCTAGGAAGTTCATAAAGAAGGACGAACATCGGTTCAGGTTTTGGCAACGAGCATGCTGAGAAGGAGGTTTGTGAAACAGGAAGAGATTGGCAACAACAGACCTTGTATTGTGCTTATTTCCCTATCTCACATTGTACGCATCATACCTTTCGATCCCTTTTGGCCAAATTCAAAAAGGCAAAGGCAAGAATAACTTTATGCTCCGGGGGAAGCAAATGTGCTTGTCCTATCTTGCGGGTGGTTGCAAAGTGCTGAAGAACTTGGAATGAGATGGCGATGGTTTATGAGGCGAAGACCAAACACGGCAGTGTTTGTTTTCTTTCGTGGTTTCAGGGAGCGGCGGACGGTTTAGTGTCCAGTTCCAATTTTACGCTTCTACTACTCAAGTAAGTTGGGTGGTGATTCGAGTGCCCACGGTCTTCTGGAGCAGAAGTTCAGTTGAAGTTACCTTTTCTAGAATAACCTCAGAGATGTCGCGGTTGGTGGGTTGTGAGTGATACAGGAAAAGGAGTGCAGCCCCTGGCAGTGAATCTCCAACCTTGAACCGCCCAAAATCTGATGCTACTAACTACTGGAAATGCTCAGGCATGAGCTGAAACACTCAGGCAGCTGGCCCAGCCGGACCGAGTGGATCCAAGTGGGCAACGAAAGATGATAGTATGGTCGAAACAGGCAACTTTCAAGAATGTAGTCTTTTCCTTACCTCCGTGAGCAAGGACGCTACTAGGAGCAAAGGGCATCGCTACTAGGAGCAAGGACGCTACTAGGGGCTCCTGGCCTTACTACTAGGAACAAGAAGCTACTACTAGTAGGAGCTTTTGGGAGATCGATCGAACGGACGGACTAATAAAATCTTTGATGCTGGTTAAACCTTTTAGACATCTCACAAAATGACCTAAACTGGAGACACTGGAGAAACTTGTTTCAAGTTTAAACGTGTTTCATGGTTTCAACGCCAAACTTCGAAGTCAAGTGCCTCTTTTGGAATCCATTCGGAACGCCTGTGAGACCAACCACCTCAAACATATTTAGAGCACAGGCTCAACGCCTCTGCCAGGCTTTCCAGACTTTTAGAGCACATCGAAGATCACCGCCTTCAGAAATTGAACTGCCCAACTTTTCTAGAATTTCTTTGCTCCTCTGACCGGCTGATGCCGATGCGCATGTTTAAACAGCCTGAAGATCGCCTGGCCGTGTTGGATCTCGTTCTGCGCCTCAATCCTCTTCCTCTAAGTGCAGCAGCTCCGTGTTTTCTGTATCCGGCGACGCCGGTGACCGGTAGGAGGCCACCAGCCCGGCCCAGGCAGCGGCTGTGATGCCGGAGCAGAGCAGCGCCAGAAAGCTTCCTGGATCCCAGGGGGTGGTTCCATCTGGAAAAAGACCACCAAGAATTTCAGAGGTCAAGTGCTGAACAAGAAAAACACATGAATCGGAAAGATTCAAAGCGTACCACGACCCGTGACTGTACTGATGAAATGTGCACCCAGGTGCCTGTCACATAGGCGGTTAGTATGAGGACAATGGGCAGCGCCAGTGAGTAAAGCACCATCACTGGTGCAGCCAGGATGGCCATGGGGATGGCAATTGCGACGAAGGAGAGAAGCCTGGGAGGAGAAAGGAGATCAAGCACGGTACAGCGGTCACATGGGTCGGTGTTCTTCGGTGCATGGCTTCACATGTTTTT